GGTGGCGAGTGGGGAGTGTCGCGACTATCCCACCTCACCTACTTACGAGCTGGACGACGAGCTGGTCCGCGCCGACGATCCTTATTGTCCCTTCTCGCCACCCGCCGCGCGGCGCACGGGTGCCAGGCGGCGCTGGAGGCCGACGCCGTGGGCGACGGACGCACCGCCACCGTGACATGCCCCAGCCTCTACACCGACGGCCCCACTGCCATGCCGCGCCTGCTTGACAGCATCAACGACATGCAGCCTGTCGGCGACTGCACGGGCCCCCAGAACTCGTGGACCTGGAAGCTGCGACGGCCGACCTCGAGCTCCTGCAAGAACGATTGTGGCGAGATGAACGACGACGGTACAATCCACCATGGGCATGGCCAACCGAACTCACCGCCATGATGTTTACGCCACAGTACTTGACGCGACCTGGACAAGACAGGGCAGGACTCTGAGCCCCTGGGCGCCAGCAAGTTCAAATGGATCCACTAGATGCGCGCCTGCCTCGACCTGGCCAGCGACGCCTCAACGGTGGCCGCGCGACGTGCTGCAGCATCATCGCGGCGTTCGTCGGCTTCCGAGGCCACGTCCGCCGCGCGACAGAAATGCCGGCGCAGGCCTACCCGAGCCACGCAATCGTTGTTGGGAAGAAAGGGGGCGCTCCGATGGGCAGCCCAGAGTCGATATGCACACACGCGATCGCCTCCTGCACTGCTTCTGCCATCGTGGGAGACTATATATGCGCCTCGGCTTCGTCGAGTACGGCTCCATGTGCGATGCCCCAGACTGGGCCCTCGGAGGCGCGCGCGCGCGCCGCCGCGAGCCGCTGGCGCGACTGGCCAAGCAATGCATTGGGGTACTGCGCGCGGCCAACATCTCGCGCGTCGCCCGGGGCTGCGACGCGGGGGTAACTTTCGCGACGGGCGACCGCGCGGGGCCGTGGGTTGCTCGCGCTACTCGCTGCGACGGTGGGCCTTTCCGCCCGCTGCTCGAGCGGCGCCGCGGCGAGGCTGCGGTCCACTTCCGGCCCCCCCCCCGGCGCCGCCCTCGCCGCTCGGCCATGGCGCGGGGGGGCGGGGCCCGAACGTGCCCGAGCTCGTCGCTGCATCCTGTCACCCGCTAGTTCTGGATTGGGATCTCCTCCTCCTCCTCCTCCTCCTCCTCCTCCTCCTCCTCTTCCCCCTCCTCCCCCTCCCTCCTCCTCCTCCTCCTCCTCCCCCCCCCCCCCCTCGCGATTCCAGCCGGCGCCGCCCGCGGGGCCCGACTGCTAGACGAGATCGACGATGCTTCCCCGCCCCAGGCTCTTCGTCGCGGGGGCGCGCGCCCAGAACATTGACGGGCGCGGCGCCCTCGCGAACTTAGCCGGCAGAACGGCCGTGAAAGTAGTGGAGAGATGAATCTCGTGGAAAGCGGCCCAGGAGCTATTCCATCTCGGGGGGTGCACGCGCGCCGCCGCGCATTCACAGCGCGACATGCATGAGCGTGTACTTTCGGGAAATGCAGGCTGGACTCGATTGGGTGACTGTTGGCCCCGAAGAAAACAAGAGACGCTCGTTCCTATTTAATGTCGCGGGTCGAACGCGGTCTGGCCTTGAGAGCCGCGCATCCCCATTGCGAAAAGTACACTCTGTATGGCGCGCGCTGGCCAGGAAACTTCGGGCTATGCTGACAGGGGGTTGCCCATCGGGAAAAATCCGAGGGGCGCCGCAAGTCGATGACTACGCTGGGCGGTCTTCGCCGATGGCAGGTAGCCCCGACAGCGATCGAACTGCCCGTGCGACGACTTAGCTGGCGACGGAGCGCTGCAGACAACAGCGCCAATCACGGCAATGTTATCGCATTTTGCCGTTCGGCAGGCGCGCCTTCGAGCTGCGGGCGGTCAAATGCAGCCGCCCCATTTCAGCCTCCACCCTCGAAGAGCCGGGCGCGATTGATGCGCTCGCTCACCCGTGGGCGCGCCAGAGCGCCGCCGACTTCGAGCGCCTCCTTTCGCTCCCCGCGGGCGAGGCCCCGCGCGCGTCGCGGCGCCCGCGGACGATGGGCACGTTGTGGGGCGGCGAGCAGATTCGAGAAGCCTTCGTCGCGCATGGCGAACGAGCGCCGCGCGCCAGCTTCTCGGTGAACCAACGCCCCCCCCCCCCCCCCCCCCCCCCCGAGCTCATCCCCCCCCCCCGAGCTCATCGAGGCCCGCGAGGCCCTGCCTTCCAAAACAGTGCTGCTGAAAACCACCAGTGATGAGGGGCGCCTGAGGCCCTTCCAGCTCGGGCTCCCTGGGCGTGGCCAGCGCCTTGACATTGTTCGACAGCTTCTCGCGCGCTAGATTAACAGCAAGCCGACGGGCATGGGCGGCCGCAGCTACTTGCAACGCTACAGCACGACAACAAGCGCACGACATGTGAAGCTACACTCCCACACGCTGAACATGCGCTACGACATGTGCGGCGTTCTTGGCAGCTCGGTCGGTGCATTGTGGAACTTCCACATCATGTTTACACGTGGACACAACTTTTTCTGTAGCTGAATAGTATCTGGATTCTGCATGCCTTCATGCATAGTACCATGACTAAACTACGGCAACCGCTCCTCGCTCGCCTTCCCCCGTCGCGACCGGGCCCCCTGCTCAGGCGGGCTTCGCGGCGAGAGGGCCCGGGCCCCCGCAGAGCCCAGGGGGGGCCCGGTGGCCGCGCCGCCCCCGGCGCGCCACCGGCGAACCATAAAGGACACCCTCGGTGCGCGGAGAGTGCTCCGAAGAGCCACCGAGAGGCTCTGCGCGGCGTCTTAGCTACGCCCGCCACGACCGCGCCGAGTTCGACCAGCTCGACAGCGCCCACCAGCACACGCAGAATCGCTACGACGCTTACATTATGTTGCCAGTGCTAGCTCGACGTGGAGATGGCGACAGCGGCCGCGCCATCGGAGAAGGAGGCGCAGGACTGTCCAGTGGGGGCCATGCTGCCGGGAGCGCCGAAGAGAGCAGAGTGGCGCCCCCCCCTGGCTCTTCCTGGGACTCGCGCGGCTCTGGGCCAATCTCGGCGCGGCCCCACGTGGAGGGCGCTCCGCCTCTCGCCGCGACCGGGCCCCAGACGCCGCCAGCCCGCTGGCGCGACCAACCCGAGAGCGAGGGCGCGGGCGGCGACGAGGGCGAGGGGCGCGACCGCAAGAGGACCCTTCAACGGCGACGAGGAGGGCAACGGCCACGTAGAGGGGAGCGCCCAGCTAAGACGTGGAGCAGCAAGGACAGTTCGTAATTTGATGGCACCATTCCAGGCAGCGTTGGAGCTGGTACTCCAGACGGCGCACAGGAACCGCATGGCCATGCCGGTGCGGGTCCGGCGCCGTGCTGGCCACGCGCCCGATGGCCGCGAAGAGCAGCGCCGAGCTGGGGGGCCACAGCGCGACGCTCGACAAGCCACGCTCGCAGGGGGCCTCGGGCAAGCAGAGGATGAAGGAGATCGGCTCCCCCGCGGCGAGCATGGGCCTCGCCGCCCTGGAAGGCCCGTTGCAGCGCGACGTCGGGGGCGCGACCGAGCGCGAGCTGAATGCGCGTGTAGAGAAGCGCTAGCCTGAGGACGAGCTCCCCGACCAAGAAGTGGACAGGGACGACCTCGAGCTGGAAATCAGTTAAACCAGGCTGGAGAAGTGCTGCAACGCGCAGAGGATGACAGTTTCCGCGGGCGCGCCCCCCCAGGAAGGCCGCGGGTCATCCGTAGGGTCCTCGAGAAGGAGGACATCGCAGTGCATCGCAATGGGGGTGGCTTCAGCGGGCGGGCTCGAGGACGAGGTAGGCCATTGGCTGGAGAGGATCTCGAATGGGCTCTAGACGCGGAGCGCCAGCCACATTATCAGCCTATCCAACGAGCAGTACAATTCGTGAGTGGATGTGCGATGCCAGGCTCGCTGCCTGCACTCGCCCCACCCAGGCTCGGACACGGGCGTTGATTTGCCGGCGAGAGGTTTCAGCGCGCCCAGCCCGCAGCCCACTTACCTAGCTAGTCCTGAGGTCGACCAAGCGGCCGCAGCAGAGTTATTGTCGCGATTAAGCTGTCGCCTGTCTGGCTCCCTGCGTCGCGAAGCACCCTGGCTGGCACACGCACCGAGCGCACCTGAGACGACTCAGGCCTTCTGCGACGAGCCGAGTCTTGCAATGCTATGTAGCTGATTGAAAGGTCTGTGTCTTGTCTTTGCCGTCGAAGAAGAAGATGCGGATTCTGGTGTTGAGGATGATGACGATGATGACGAAGACAACAATTATGCTTTTGCTGCTGATGATGCTGATGGTGGGGTGATGGTGATGACGATGGTGGTGGGGTTGTTGATGATGATGATGATGATGATGATGATGATGATGATGATGATGATAGCGGTGTTGCGGTGCTGCTGATGAACATGGTGGTGGTGATGATGATATTCACGGAGCGGATCATGATGCGGATGCAGATATCGCAGATCACCATGACAGCGGTGGCAATGGCGAGGAAGCCGGTGTCGACGATGACAATGATGACGATGATGTTGACGATGACGATGACGAAAGCAACGATATGATCGATGATGATTATGATGGTGGCGATGGGGATGAGAATGGTGACCATGACGATGACGATGATGATGCATATGGTCATGGTGCGGGTAATGTTTATGAGGATGCGGATGGTGATGCTGGTGTTGAGGGTAAACTGAGGCGGATTCGCATATTACAAATCATGGTGGAGGGGGGACAGCCGATGACAACGACGAGGAACAAACGAGGGCGACAAGGATAATACGGACGATAATGCTGATGGTGATGGTGATTCTGATTATGACTTGTTATGATGATGGCGGCTGTGGTGGTGATGCGGATGAGAATGATGACGAGGGTGATGGGGAGGAGGAGAAGGAGGAAGAGGAGGAGGAGGAGGAGGAAAAAGAGGCGGCGGAGGCGGAGGGATGATAGCGACGAGGATAACGATGGAAGGGCAGCGCGGGTACCCACTGGGCGAACGCATCGCAAAGCAGCGGCCACGCAGCTTCGTCGCGGGCAGACGACCAGCTTCGAGAGCAGCTCGAGCTCTGCCAGCACGCAGGCTCCCACTGCGGTCAGCTCGGGCAGCCTCGGGCCTCCCACGAGCAACCACGGCGTCGGCGTGCACCCCGACGAGGGCAGCGAGGCGCGGGAGGGTTGAAGAGGGTCGGAATTGAGGGGAGAGAGGGATGAGGATGAGCAGGCAGGAGGTCTGGAGCAGGAGGAAGGCGCGAGCAGGAGGGACGAGGGAGGATAATAATGAGGAGGGCTGGGTGAAGGCAGGGGAGGGATGAGGGGGGCAGGAAGTGAGACGGCATGAGGGAAAGGGGGGGCGTAGGCGGGAGGAGAGAGGGGTGCAGGAAGGGGGGATGAAGAGGAAGAGCTCGTACTTGCGATTCGTCCTCCTTGTCGCTGCACGCGCCCGAAGTACACCAGCCTCCCGCATCCGCTACCTGGTTACTGGGTTCATGGTGAGGGGGAACCGGAGGAACATGACATGAAGGAGCAACGAGCGACGCAAAGACACGATATAGAGGAGCTATGAGAGGGGCAGAGGAGAGGAGCCCCGCGACGACGACGACCAAGCGGCAACGAAAACGACGACGTCTCGCGTCACCGCTTCGGCCCAATACAGTCGGGGCCCTGAAGAAGGAACCCTTTTGGTTGGGGAGGGGCTCCGCGTTCCTTAAGTGTTTCACAGCTTGCCTCAAGTTTTCCTTATGTTTTCGATCGGAAATCGAAGGTTAACTCATGAAAAAAAGGGGTCTCGTTCCTTATTTAGGGTTCCTTAGGTCAACGCCCCGACTGTATAGCCCCTCTGGACGGGCGGAGGCCCGGACCAGCGCCGCCTCGGCGTGGCGTGGCGCGCCACCGGCGCGCACGCGCCCTCTGAGCTCTCCCCTTCCTCTTTCGGCAGCCCGCGGCCCACCCGCGATCCACGCGCGATCCCACCGCGAGCCACCCCCGTCGCTGCGACGAGCACCTTAAGCGAGTCGAAAAAAGTATCCAGGAGGAAAAAAAACACACACACAGACACAATGAGTCGTCGATTCCCCCCCAGAAAATACGGGAAATTATGGGGAGCGGGCTGGAAGACAAAAGCATAGAAGATATGGGAAGATATGGGGAATCTTGTGATTTGTGTGTCTTTAGTTGTGTGTCCCAGGGCCCCTCGAAGTATGGCGGAAAGTTCCGCCTCCGAGCTGTGGGCGGACAGTCCGCAGAGGCGTGGCGGAGACAGCGATGGCAAGGTGGGGCGGACATCGGCACCGGAGGAGCTGGAAAAGCAAGGCGGAACTTTCCGCCCGGCTTGCGATATCGCCCGACCCAGACCCCCTCGAGTAATGACAAAATTATGACGGGATATGTTTCCTAATTTTCGGCCTCCGGGGGTCCTCACCGGGCCTCGGGAGCGTCAAAAGACGACTCGGGATGAAAAGCCGGTCATGAGGAAAGGGTCCAGACCTCTGGGGGTCGACGTAATGAAAAAATCATTACGACGGGGGTCTGGGGAGCGGATCCGAGGTCAGGCAAAGACAGCCTCCAGTTTCCCCCCTCCCCCCCAGGTTCTCTTCCGAGCCCGTTCGTCGTCTGAGCCGTGTCGGCCGCCGAGCGAATTCAAGATGGAGCGCTCTCGGCGGTCGAACGGGCGCTCAATCCCCACGGACCCGTCAGAATCGAGCCCGTTTGGCTGCCCATCCGGCGGCCGAACGGGCTCAGACGCCGAACGGGCTCAGAATGGAATCGCCCCAGACATGATGGCGTCGTAAAAAAAAGGACGGGCTCCTCTGCCAGGATCATGTCAGGATCATGTCAGCGTTGAAGTACTACTCTGCCAGGATCATGTCAGCGGCTTTGATCTCGTCCTTGTCCGCGTTCAATTCCTGGTTCAGGTCTTTGCCGAGCGACTTGATCACTCTGGACCTCACCGCCTCTTGCTCCTCCTGAGTGTCCCCAGTAAAACCGAAAATCACGAGCGACCCACTGTTCACTAGTTTCGGCCTCCGGGGGCCCTCGCCAGGCCCTGGGACCGTCAAAAACGACTCAGGATGAAAAACCGGTCCCAGGGAATGGGTCCGGATCTTTGGGGGTCGCGTCATGGAAAACAATATGTGACGTTGGGGATCTGGGTTCGGCGGCCGAACGGGCTCAGACGCCGATCGGGCTCAGAATGGAACCGCGGGGTCGTATATATATATATATATATATATATATATATATATATATATATATATATATATATATATATATCTCGGAGTAGGGCCCCGGGGCGGTGCCTGTCACCTCCATGGGGGGTGCAGGGCGCCCCCGGGAGCGTCCGAAGCGTCCCGGAGGGCCCCTGGGACCGCCAGGAACAGTTCGAGACCGCCCAAGACGGCCCGCGAGCGCTCCAAGACGCGCATAGATAGCCTCACGAATGGCCAGGAAGGCCCGAAGACGTTCCAAGAGAGCTCCATGAGGCCCCGAAGGCATCCCAAGAGGCCTCCCAAGAGAGCCCCGACAAGCCAACATCGTTGATTTTTATTTGTTTTTTTGAGGTTTTTGGCCTTCTCGCTTTTTCGGGGTTCCGACGCTCCAAGGCCGTCCAAGAGTCTCCCAAAACCGCTTCAAGACGGCCGAAGAGGCCCCCAAGACCGCCCCAAGACGGCCCAAGAGACCCCCAAAATCGTCCCAAGACGGCCCAGGAGAGCCCCAAGATGGCTCCAGGAGTGCCCCGACAGGGCTTCAAGACTGCCTAAGCGAGCCCAGCGGTCCCCAAGAGGGCCCCCAAGAGCCTCCCCGAAGGCCCCCAGAGGCCCCCAAGATGCCCAAAAATGGCCCTGAGCGCGCCCCAAGACGCCTCAAGGAGAGCCCCAAAGGCCTCCGAGAGGCCCCAAAGAGGCCCACTGGAGCCCCCCAGGAGGTCGTCCCCATCATGTTCCCGGAAGGCGGTCCGGGAACATGATTCCGCGCCTTGGAGGAGTATTCTGCGCCTTCCGAGGCGCCTTGGACGACGTGCGATTCATATTCTTGAACGCTTTCCGGGAACATGATTTCTCACCGTTTCGGAACGCTTTCCTATTGCTGCGGTGCTCTGGGGGGAAGGGACGGGGGTCCGGGAACATGATCGGGAGGTTAGGGAACGAGGGTTTGGAGAGGAGCAGTAGGACAGACGGACGGGGCCAGGGGGCGGGGGTGGGGTGGTGCCACCGGTTGGCATGGCCGCCCCGGGCGTCCTGTGGGGTCCACGAGCCCGCCCAAGACGGCCCATGAGGCCCCAAAGACAGCCCAAGAGACCCACAAGACAGCTTCAGCGAGGCCCAAGAGGGCCCCAAGACGCTCAATAGCGCCCCAACAGGGCCCGAGATGGCTTGAAGATGGCCGAAGAGGGCCCCAAGAGGGTCTTCAAGAGGCAAACACTGGCCTATTGCCATTCGTAAAGCATACATGTTCAGCATATTTGCTTGCTTGGTCCTCACAGTGCCCCAGACGCCCCCGAGCCCCAAGACAGCCCAAGAGAGACCCAAGAGGGCCCACGACGGCCCAAACGGGTCGTCCTGTGAGGCTCACGGAACCCCCCCAAGACGGCCCAAGAGGCCCCAAAGCCGGCCCAGGAGGCCCCCAAGACGGCCTCAGGAAGGCCCAAGAGGGCCTCGTTCGAAATCATGTTCCCGGAAGTCTCTCCGGGAACATGATTTCCGGGTTGTTAGGACGCCCAAGAGGGCCCCAGGACGGCCCCAAAAGGGCCCTAAAAGGACCGTCAAAAAGGCCCGGATGGCCACAGTTTGTTGATTTGCGTGAGATGTTGTTGGATTTCTTCCGCGCAGAGGAGACGGGGAGGGCGAAGGAGGAGGAGGAGGAGGAGGAGGAGGAGGAGGAGAAGGAGGAGGAGGCAGGGAGGAGGAGTGGAGGGGAGGAGGGGGGGAGAGAGGAGGAGGCTCGAGGGCGATCGACGATCGGCGACGACGACCGGCGACGGTGATTGCCGACGACGACGACGACGATGACGACGACGACGACGATCGACGACGGTCGACGACCGACGACGACGACGATCGACGACGATGACAACAGTCGACGCCGCCGATCGACGATCGACGGCGACGACGACGGCCACGCCGACGGCGGCGACGCTGCCCGCGTGACAGCCCAAGAGGCACACAAGACAGCCTCATCGAGGCCCCAGAGGGCCCCAAGACGTCCAAGAGCGCCCCAAGAGGGCCCGAGATGGCTTGAAGATGGCCGAAGAGGGCCCCAAGAGGGCCTTCAAGAGGTAGAACTTTACCCATTCCTCTTGTACAACGTACAATTTCAGCATACTCGCTTGCTTCGTCCTCAGAGTGGCCCCCGAGGAGCCCCAAGACAGCCCAAGACGGCCCAAAAGGCCCCAAAGCCGGCCCAGGAGGCCCCCAAGACGGCCTTAGGGAGGCCCAAGAGGGCCTCGTTCGAAATCATGTTCCCAGAAGCTTCTCCGGGAACATGATTTCCGGGTTCCCAGGACGCCCAAGAGGGCCCCGGGACGGCCCCAAAAGGGCCTAAAATGACATTCAAAAATTCCCAGAGGGCCACGGTTCGCTGATTTTCCCGACATGTTGTTGGATTTCTTCCGCGCGGAGGAGACGGAGAGGGCGAAGGAGGAGGAGGAGGAGGAGGAGGAGGAGGAGGAGGAGGAGGGGGAGGAGGAAGAGGAAGAGGAGAAGGACGAGGCGGGGAGGAGGAGTGGAAGGGAGGAGGGGGGGAGAGAGGAGGAGGAGGCTCGAGGGCGATCGACGATCGGAGACGACGACCGGCGACGGTGATTCACGACGACGACGACGACGACCACGACGACGACCGATGACAATCGACGACGATGACAACAGTCGACGCCGCCGATCGATGATCGACGGCGACGACGACGACGGCCACGCCGACGGCGGCGACGCTGTCCGACAGCCTCAGCGAGGCCCCAGAGGGCCCCAAGACGTCCAAGAGCGCCTCAAGAGGGCCCGAGATTGTTTGAAGCTGGCCGAAGAGGGCCTTCAAGAGGCAAAAATCGGCCCATTCCCGTTGTACAACGTACGTTTTCAGCATATTTGCTTGCTTGGTCCTCACAGTGCCCCAGACGCCCCCGAGCCCCAAGACAGCCCAAGTGAGACCCAAGAGGGCCCACGACGGCCCAAAAGG